GGTGCATCCTACGGCACCAGTTGGTAGTTTTTATCATGAGAGGATATTGGATTTTTCCAAAAACTTTGTCTGCCTGCCTAAATCATCATGATTTTTCTCATTTTTGGTGCTTGCTCAGCCTCTTTATTCAAAATTGGTTTGTCACATTTTTTATTCTTTATAATTTAGACTTCATATCTTGTATGGTTATAGAAAGTGTCCATTTCCAAAATGTTATTAAATTTGTTGTCATTTCAATGTCCATATTAGTCTCTTATGATCCTTTTTCTTGGCGGCATGTATTGTAATGTCTCCTCTACCATTCTGATTTTACTTAAGTAAGTTATTTTTGTTAGTCTGGATAAAGGGTTTTCAATTTTGTTTGTATTTTCAAATAACCATTTTGTAAAAAGTTTTATCATTATGTAAAAAAAGTTTTTTTTTTCTCTTTTAAAGTTTTTCACTTAATGCCTCTATTATCTGATGTAAGAGTCACTATTCTGTTGTCTTCTATTTTCCATTTGCATGGAATATTGTTTTCCATCCTTTTTATTTCATACTATGAAAGTCCCTAAAACTGAAGTATGTGCCTTGCAGACAGGAAGTACTCAAGCCTGGTTTATTCCAAATTTATTGACAAAGTTCAATTGTCATAGAACTTTGTACACATTTAAGATATATAATGTTTTGATTTGCCACAGATAATTTATAAAATGATAATCTAGTAGTATAAGGTAATGTAGTATTAGCTAAAAAATGAATCATGTCACATAATTTCTATATCTGTTTTGTCATAAGAACATTTTTCTTATTTTTAACAACTTTGAAGTACGTAGTTAGGTATTATTAACCATAATCACCATCTTGCCATTGGATTCCCCAACCTGGTCATCTTATCATCAGAAGTCTATTCTTTTGAGTTGGGTCTTGTTAAGAATTGTTTAGAATTTTCAACATAGTGTTAACATGGAGTTGTTTTTGAGAGAATTCAATTTATTTATACTTTAAGTTATAATTAAAATGTTATAGACATTAATGCTACCTTGAGAGTTGTTTTCTGACTTTTTTTCTTTGTTTCTTTCTACATTTCTTGCTTCATGAAAACAAAATGACACCATATTAAATGGGAGAAAATAATTACACATCATACATCTCACAAGAACTCTCCAAATAACTCAAAAAATCAACAAAAAGGAAACAAATAAATCAAAAGGAAACAAATAAATCAAAGGAAACAAATAAACAAATGAGCAAAAGAACTAGAGACAATTCTCAAAGAAGACATATAGATTATCAAAAGGCACTTGAAAAATTTATCAAAATAACTTAGCAACAGGGAAATGCAAATCAAAACTATGAATACCACCTCACTGCAGTAACAGTGGTCCATATTCAAAAAAGAAAAACAGGGCCCTCCCTGGTGCTGCAAAGGGTAAAGACGCAACCTATGAAGGTATCAGCAGCCACTATAGCTCATGTTCGTCCCTGGCCAGAGAACTACTTACATGGCACAGCAGACCTCTCCTGACTCGCCCATTGCTCCCCTCAGCAGTGTATTTCACCCAATCTGCCTGTTCTGCTCCCCACTCTGTCTTTGGTGAATCCTCTCACCCCCACCCCCATACCTCTGGCCTGTTCCCCAGTTCTTGTATGCATAAATAAATAAATCTTAAAAAAAAAGAAAAACAATAGATACAGCAAATATTGATGAAGATAAGGGAAAAAATAACCCCCTGTGCACTGTTGGTGAAGATACAGGCTAGTCCATGCTATGGGAAAATATTGCAGATTCCTCAAATATGAAATACAGATCTACTATACGACTCAGCAATTCTATGACACAGGGACTCCCAAATCTCTAATTTGAAGAAATATATGCAACCTATGTTAATTGAAGTCTAATTTACAGTAGCCAAGGTATGGAAACAACAGAACAGTGCTTTAAAATTACCTATATACACAAAGTGATTTGATGTTGAGTGTAGGATGATTGTATACATCAGATAGGGGTGTGAGCTTGTCCCCCTGAATCATATACAGTGTGCAAATCACTGTTACCTCAATAAGAAAAAAAATTATTAAAAACAGAAATTAAAGTAATTCCATTTCTGTGTATATATTAAAAAATACAAAATCATTACATCAAATAAATACATATGACACTATGTTTATTGAAGTATTAACAATAGCCAAAAGCTAGAAACAACCTAAGTATCCTGGGAAAGATAATCAGTTACAGAAGATGTGGATCATATACACAGTGGAATACTATTCAAGTGTCCCCTGGCTGAAATCAGCCATTTGCAATAGCATGGATGGCCCTGGGGTATTATGCTCAATGACACACTTATACAAAGACTAATAAGTAGGATTTCACTCACTTGTGCTATATAGAGATGCCAAACAAAGAGATGAGCCAAATAATACAAAAATAAACTTTTGGTCTCATTAGTAGCTACCAGTGGGTAGAGATGGAGTTTATCAGATAAACATGTCAATTTTATGGGAAAGGAAGAGCAAGAGCTTTAGTAGTGAATTTAATGCAATATAAAACAAATTTATTTTTAATTGCACATACCTGAAACTAACATAATGTTGAAAAGCAAAATTATTTTCATAAAGAAAAGGAGTCATGTATTTAAAAAATGTACAAAACATTTAAACCATATATATATACGTATATATATATATATATATATATATATATATATACGTATATATATATATATATATCTCACACAGGAGAAAATTTTGACAGATTTAAACAAATGCAAAGTGCATCATGGTCATGGATTGGAAGACATGATCTTTAATTTTTCTGTCTTTTGTATGGATTGAATTTAATTCCTATCAAAATCTCAGCTGGAATGTTTGGAAATTGGAAAACTGATTTTAAAATTTGTCTGAATACACAAAGAACACAGTGAAGCCTAGAATATCTGGAAGAAAATAGTTGGAAAACATAGAGCCCATAATATAATAAGGTACTGTGAGACTGCAGCATTTTAGAGTTTGGTATTATGCACATGAACACACACATCAATTGAACAGATTAGCATCTCCCATACCTGTACCATCATTTCACAACTCAGGTGACATTCATTAGCAAAAAGTACTTAATCAATTGCACTGAAATTCATTGGGGAAACTACTTCTCACCTAAAGATATGGAATCTCCTGGATAGCACTTTGAATATAACAAATCACAATGGCTACCCTATGCAAAAAGAATCTTAATATTAATTAGTGAAAGCAAATGAGAAAGGGTAAAGCCTTTACTGTAATTATTAATATGTTTTTATCACTTTAAACTTCAATCAGTGTTGCCCTGGGGGATTTATTTACACATATTGGCCAATATTTGTTACTCAAAACTAAAGATTCATAGCTACAGAAATTCTGGAAAAGAAACAGAAAAATTATTTTATAAGATATTGTCTCTTGTCCATGCCTTCAAAGCATGGAAAATCATCAAATGATGTTTGCGAGCTTTTATTAAGTCAATGATAGAATCTCCTTTTCTATCATTTTTATTCAGTTACTTTCTTTTTTTAAAGATTTATTTATGTATGCATACAAGAACTGGGGCACAGGCCAGAGGTGTGGGGAGTGAGAGGATTCACCAGAAACAGAGCCGGGAACAGAACAGGCAGCTCTACAGAAATACACTGCCAAGGGAAGCAGTGGGAGAGTCAGGAGAGGTCTGCTGTGTCATGTGTGTTGCTCCCTGGCCGGCCAGGGATTGAACTTGTGCTGCAGAAACTGAGGACAGCTTCACAGATTGCATCTTAACCCCCTGTGCCACCAGAGAGCCCTATTCAGGTACTTCCTCATGAAGTTTTACCACTGCTTCATTTGCTCCTTTGGTGTATATGCTCATTTTTCATTTGAAAAATTAACTTTCAGTTCACTAATTCTGTCTTTCCTTCTGTGATGTGCTGATTAATGCATGCATTCATTCATAAATTCTGATCACTACACATTATATACATATATTTACTCTTTATCCTTTTATATATGTAGTTCTGTTAGTAGAGGATTCTATTAATAATATTTCTATTTTTCTCCTTATATCCTTTTAACATTTAATAACATGTATTTCTGCAGCACTCACAGATTATTGCTATTTAAACATGCCTCCCACATGTGTGGCAATTGAACCATTGCAACTTTATAGAGGCAAAGAAATGGCATAATGAGATATTTGCAGAGTGACCTCAGCACATGGCTCAAGGAGGCCTGTGAGCTTCAGAGTCTTAAATGAGCCAATGGGTGCTGAGAGTCTCGTCGTTCTATTGCATTGGAGGAGTAATGTTTATAGAGCGATTGTGTGGATATTGCTGTTACTCAGTTATGAGGAAACGCTAATATGACAACTTCCCTTATGCTCACTTCCTGTTAGTTTTATTTGTGCTTGACTGTATGATGTTTGGTTAACCAAATTGCTTACACTAGTGGGTTCCATGTCCCCTTATCCCACAAAAGTGCATAAATCAAAAGTAAAGATGCAGCTGGGGATAGTACCGACAAAACTGCCCAGGAAAAGTGTTTCCAGTTTTTTTGTTTGTTTGTTTGTTTGTTTGTTTGTTTGTTTGTTTTGTGAAAAAACATTTTAGATACAGCTGCCTCTGAAAAATCAGTAACTTAAAAAAAAAAACCTTCATCTTTATGGCAGGGCTAAATTTCCCAGCTCCTATAGATGGAACGTTAAATGGGGAAAATCTTAACAACGTACTCCGTACTCTATTTTCTTCAAGAATACATCACATAAATGCATAAGATAGGCCCCTGTCTGTATCTTTAAAAGTTTCCTTGTAATTTATATAAAATCTCTTGAGAGTTCAAAGTTCAGGCAGAATTTTCAGAACTATCTAGAGTTGTTCCAAGACTAGAGTCCTCAGTCTTAATTATTTCATAAACTCAGTTTTCACTTGTCTGGACTTATATAAGCCAATAGTTTTCCCAATAAATATTCAACATCTCTCTCAACTAGAATTTACAGTTGGGCCTCAACAAAAGATTCAGGCTTGTCCTTTTTGGAAAACCTTTCTTAGAGCTGCCTTCATAGCTTGATTTCGCAGGCTGTAAATCATTGGGTTGAATGTTGGGGGCACAACTGTGTACATAATAGTGAGCAAAATGTCCAGTGCAAAATGTCCAGAGTCAGAAGGTGGCTTGAGAAACTCAAAGACGCCAGTTGAAATGAATAAAATGACCACAGCGAGGTGGGGAAGGCAAGTGGAAAAGGCCTTAGCTCTGCCCTCAGCAGATGGCATCCTCAGCACAGTAGAGAATATCTTGATGTAGGAATGGCCAATAAAGGCGACACAAAGAAATGCGACAAAAGACAGGAAGGCACTGACTCCAATATCGCTGATAAACTCATTAGAACAAGAGAGTTTTAGGAGCTGGGGGATGTCACAGAAGAACTGGTGAATAATATGGGAACCACAGAAGTGCATGGAGAAAATGGCAGCTGTGTGCATGGTTCCAGAAATGATGCCACTGATCCAGACACTCAAGACTCCTAGAACACAGGTTCGGACATCCATGATGATTTCATAGCGCAGTGGAAGGCAGATGGCCACATAGCGATCATAGGACATCACTGTAAGCATGGACAGCTCAGCCTCAGCACAGAGAGTAAAAGCAAAACACTGCATTATGCATTCCCCGAGGGAAATGTAGCCACTGTGTATGAAAGATGTATAAATGGACCTTGGCACAGTCACGGAAATGTAGCACAGATCCAGAAAGGAGAGATGTTTCAGGAAAAAATACATAGGTGACTGCAGACTATTGTCCATGGAAGTTGTGGTGATAATGAGGATATTGCCTGTTACCGCCACCATATACAAGACTAAGAACAGAGAAGCAAGGAAGAGTTCTAACTCAGGCTTGGCTGAAAATCCCATCAGAAGAAATCCACTCATAGTGAGATTAGCCATAGTCCTTCTTAATTTCCCAGTAATGGTAACTGCAAGACAAGTTGGGATTCATGAAAGAAAATTGAAATTTCCTTTACATATAACCTAACTTGGACTCAATCAAGTTGGCCAAGAAGTCATTTGTAGAAATCACACTTCATCACAAATGTGAAGTTGTTCTGTATACTAAAAGCCATGTCAAGAAATTTCAATATGCTTTTATTCAGTTACGGAAACATGGGTAAACAAGGTTCTAAATTTTAATCACCCATTTCAGTCAATGAAAAATGAATGTGCATAGTAAAAGTAATAAGATCTTTAAAATATATAAATACATTAATAGCAGTATGGAATTCTCAGTGTTCATTTATATTACAATTTTTAGTTCAATGTACTCGCATTATTAAATGTTTCATCTACTTATTGTTTCTCATTAATTGTCTATATATCACATCCCATCTATATACAATTGATTTATAATTGCAATTTATTTTTTTATTTTATATATAAGAGGAAAATCTCTCCATTTTTCCCATGTATTTTCTCATTAACTGCAATTATGCAACTCAAAATTAGTAGGACTTATACAATAAATATGATATATGAATAATCAGTATCATTCACACAAAAGATCATAAAAATTCATTTGAAAAATGTTAATTTCCCAAAGGAAATGGAAAAGAACAGACCTTTCGCAGTGTATTTGTATAAGAAAATGTCATCACTAATATACGCATGAAAAAATAATTTTACTTAAATTCTTTTTTTTTTTTTTTTTAATTTTTTTTTTTTTTTATAGAGGCATGCTTTTATTTATTTTGTTTTGCTGGTTTGTTTTGTTTGTTTTGTTTATACATGCACTGGGTACAGTCAGAAGCGCGGGAGGGCGAGAGAATTCACCAGAGCCAGAGCGGGGAGCAGAGCAGGCAGAAGGACCGAAGTACACTGCTGAGGGGAGCAGCGGGCGGCAGGAGAGGTCTGCGCGCCATGTGGGACCCTCCTCTGGTGGCCGGGGAGCAGCCGGGGATCGAACCGGCGCCGCAGAGGCCGCGCGCAGCTTCGCAACCCAGCGCTCAACCGCTGCGCCACCGGGGAGGCCCTACTTAAATTCTTAATTAAATAATATATTGAATATCTATGAATTGTATTTTTGTACCCAGAATATTGGTCAAGATGAAAAGTAAAATACTCAGTGTTATTAATCATGAATAAAGAAAACTAGTGTTATCATATATCTGAAGAAGAAAATATAGACCCAAAATCATATAGTGCAGTAAATTGATGTTATAACAATAAAATTAATGCTATTAAAAATATCAAATATGATGTTTATTTCACATAAATACAGAAAAAACTTAAAACGGCCAAACATTATGGTGAAATTTGTGCATGCTGTGTGGATAAGAGCAAATTATTTAGCAAAAGCTATGAAACAACCTGTATGTTAAACCAAGAAATTTATATCTAGGTGGCATTTTAAATACTCACCTGAATAATTGATATTTAGAAAACTATGTTCATTTAAAATTAGTGCTCCAGCAGAAAAAATATTGAAAATCTTAAATTATAACTGAATAAATTTTTTAGGATAACATTTTGATAGAATAGACTTGGAACCAATGAGTGAATCCCTGCATACATCAAGTAAAACTTATTTAAAAATTGGTCATGTGTATGTGTGTGGGGGGGTGGTTGTTGGGAATGGGTGTGTAAGCATGTATGTCTTTCTGTGTATTACAAAGGGACATTATAATACTGTTAAATTAAAGCAAGTAATGTTATATTTAAAAATATTGAAGAGAGACTTTAAAGATGACACCTGACAATTCTAGACATTATAATGACATATTTGCTCATCCAGGCATTGTTTCTGGAGACTGACACTGAGCAGTGAGGTTTCTGGAGATTCCAAGAACTTCTAATTCTGTGTATCTGGGAGAAGGTGCCTTAATTTTCTTCATGCTATCCAACAAAAACGATATATTCCTTATGTATGAAAATATTTCTTGATTTACACAGAAGTATTTTCTTGCTCTTTCCATTAATTTAAATCAACTAATGTTAATAATTTATACAGTGGCCATATAGTGAAATTAAATGCAATTTTGGTTTTCATCTTTAAATCTTTGCTTGTCTTTTCTACCTCTTGAAAAAATATTTAATTATTTTTAACATTACATACATATGAACATTAACCCAAACATCTGTGTGTTTGTGGCTGTGTGAAAAAGATATTTGTCACATTATGGTTTGTAAATGTCTAACTAGCAGTTAATATGCTGTAGCCACAACCATCTGTATACCAAAAAAAGAGGCAGTGGTATAAAGAGATTTAAAGTGTCTCTTTTGTTGGCTTGTAGGTATTGTTTCAGGATAATTTAGCCTTTCTTTATGAGCTATTACTTTAAATAAGAAGATAAGAAGATGAAGGTTGTCACTTTTTTCTTCTATGAAAGTCCTCCATTCAGTGCAAATCCACAATTTTACTTCTTTCCTTCAAATATTTCATTCTCTCCAGCTTATTCACTGTCTTATTTTTATGGTGGTATACAAAATCTAACATATCACAGTGTTTGGTGAGTATTTATGTTTTTTAGCCATTAATGTTTAAACATTAGGTAGATATTATGTTTCAAAAAATAATAAAAGTTTTTGTTCATTGTATTAAGAGTGATGCCATTTATGAATTTTACGAGTTATTTTTCTTAAAAGTCTTATTCCCTATATTTCTAAATATTTCCTTAAATTTTAAAAATTCCCTAAATTTCCCTATATGTCTAAAATTTTGGCCATTAAAAAGTCATTTCCAGAATTTTTCTGAATTTTCTCTACTTCACAACTTTCACTGAGAATTAGATCAGCAGGCTACAATAATGCTTTAAAGGAATTTTAAATCATAATCTTTCAATCTAAAAGATTTCTTTTTGATCTTTAGACTGTGAAAATTGGAATATGTAGTGACTTTATTCTCATCAATATGTTTAAATCCCTCCCATTTTTCATTTTTGTACCATATTTGAACAATTTATCTGTGATTTCTGACTTGCAAGCATCTCATATCATTTATATGTAGCAATTATAAGACTCAATGAATAATGTGAATACAAGGAGTATCAGAGTGTCATCCCATCACACATTCACACTGCATACTTCTAATATGATTATGTAATAAAAGGCATGACTAGGGAGGTGGGAACTGCACTCTACAAAATGTTTCTGGAAAGGAAAGAGTTTACAATGTTCTCTCCCAGATCATAATTTCCAAGTAAATAATTATAGATCACGCATGATATTTCATATTTTACAGGTTAAATATCAGAGGCTCATCTCTCATCCACTCAAAAACCAATAATTTGAGTGTTTTTCATTTTTTAGTGTAATCTATCTTTTTAGAACCTAAGGAAACTCACCAGAGCTTAATCAAGAACTTCTCTCTGCAACTGAAGGAGAAGCTGTCAGTGTGGGTAGCTGACATTTAGCTCAAAGTCTTGATCTCTTGAGTTCAGTTACATTCAGAATTATATGAACTTGAGAGAAAATAACTTCGTTTCAACCCTTCTTTGGTCTCTGGAGGTTAGACTATGAAGTCACTTTGGCACAAGCAGGGTCTTTGGTGCTGTGGGTATTGGTATTCCTGGGCAACACCCTGGGACCAAAATTTGTAACTACATTATTTGTTCCTGAAGAGTATTTCTCTGTTGAGTTGATGTAATGATTGCACCCAGTTACCTGGAATTGCACCTTATTACAAAAACATATTGAAAGTGGATTAAAACCTTGAAGGTATGACCTAAAACATGAGGAAAGAAGCATAGACTATAAATTCATTGATATTTTCTTTAGTGAAAATTTGAGACCATAAAATTACTTGGGATTAAACAGAAGCAATAGGACCTCCCCTGTGGTGCAGCGGGTTGAGCGCAAGCTGTGAAGCTGTCCTCAGCCTCTGCAGCACTAGTTCTATTTCCAGCCCAGCCAGGCAGAAACCCACATGGTATGGCAGATATCTCCTGCCTCATCCGCTGTTCCTCTCATCAGTGTCATTGGTCCATCTGCCTGTTCTGCTCCCCGCTTTGTTTCTGGTGAATTCTCTCACCCTCCTGTGCCTCTGACCTGTACCCCAGTTCTTGTATAAATAAATAAAATCTTTTAAAAAAAATTAAACAGAAGCAATAGGTTTACTGCCATCAGCTTAGATATGACTCTGGGAATTGGACTCTAACATCAAGGGAAACAAACACAAAATCAACAAAGGGGACTGCATCAAACTAAAGACCTTCTGCACAGTGATGGAAACCATCATTAGAAGTAAAAGATGACCTAGTAATAGGAGAATATATTTACAAACTGTATATCAGATAGTGGATTAATATCCAAAAAATATAATCAGTTCATACAATTTAAAATGAAAAAAACAAACAGCCCAATTAAAAATGGCCAGAAAATCTGAATAGGTGCTCACTGTAGATGACAGATAGCCAACTGTCTCATGAAAAGATGTTCAATTATTTTATTGTAGGATTTGCACATCAAAGCCACAATCACTTCTCATCTCCAGCTTGTGAGAGGCCATTATCCAGAAGACAAGAAGGCACAGGTGCTGGAGAAGAGGAAGAGAGATGGGAATCATCATACACTGGTATATTAATGCAACTACCTTGTAGAACAAGATGCAGATTTCTCAAAAATTTAAAAATAGATCTACTATATGATCCAGAAATTCCACTCTTGGTTATCATTAAAAGAATGTGAAACCAGTATTTTAAAATAGAGATTCTATTTACACCAACAAAGAGGTAGAAACAACACAAGTGCCTATCAAAATCATCAGGCAACTGTAAAACAGACATTCTGCAGAGAAAGGGTGGGGAAGGGATCAAAAGGAGGGAGGGAACAGCATAAGGGACTATGGTGTTGGTGCACAGGTGAAATGGTGGTGGAAATTCTATAAGGACTACACCTGAGAAAGGAAAGCAAATTTTACAATGGACTGTTGAAATAAATTAAAA